ATGGTCATGGATTAATTTCCTGCAAAAACAAATTAAGGTGCAGTAATTGTAGTCAGGTAGGGCACAAATACAAAGACTGTTCTAACCCCTCTTATTGTTTTTTCTGTAAAGGTAATCACCAAGCATATGACAGGACATGTCATGTACACATACAAGCACAAGAAATAAACAAAAAAAACACTACACCTAACAACCAAGAAGTAAAAAAACTTCTTCATCAGTTGAACCCAACAACACAAAAAACAAAAACAACACCCAACAAAAACAACATACTAGTAATAGCCGAGATACACAACGCTGACTCAGAACACTATCAACAAACAAAGGACAACACAAACAACACACAACAAACACATCCAATAGTAACCCAAACATTTGCTCAAACATTAAAACAAACACAAATCATAACTCCAGCCCAGAAAACGCCCACAAAACAAAAAAACAAAGCTAACCAAAAAGAAACAGATATACTTACTCCACCAGTAAAATCAAAATATGAAAAAACAAAAGAACAAAGACTATCAAAGAGTCCTAATACTAAAAACAAAGAACAAGTAAACTCTCCTATAACATGGTCACTGCCAACACCCCTAAATAAACCCATTACACCAGAAAGAAGATTTGAACAAGAAGAAAATAATCCTTCTTGGATTGAAATAATAAAAAGAATAATCAATCTTATTTCAAACATAGCACTAAACTTAAAATCAGACAAACCCTTAATCAAAACCATTACCGAGACCATAACAGAAGCAGTACCAATAATAAGAAACATCATGGATATTTTACATGGATAGTATAATACTCTGGAATGCTAGGTCTATTCTAAATAAAAAGACTGAAATTGACTTAATAATAGAAAATGAAAATCCAAAAATATTCGCAATCTGCGAAACTTGGCTAACAAAAAACGAGAATTTCAGATTAAACAATTTCTCAATAGAAAGAAAAGACAGAACTGATCAAAGGGGAGGTGGCCTAGCAATTTGTATACACAGTAGTATACAATACAAGAAAATAAATCTTATTGAAAGTCAGAATAATAAAATAGAAAAAATAGCTATGAAAATTAGCTACAAGAATAAATGGTTAGATTTAATTTTGATTTATAATCCATGTAATAAAATAGAAGAAAGAGAATTAGATCATTATATTGAACAATTAGATAACCCAAAGTTAATAATAGGTGATTTTAATGCCCATCATTCATCATGGAACCCTAATATAAAAACAAAAATGACAAATACAACGGGAATAAATTTATTTAATTATATAACTCAAAACAATCTGATGTTATTAACACCTACGGGATTAATCACAAGAATAGATCCTAAAACAGGAAAAGGTACAACCATAGACTTAGTAATAGGTTCGCCCGAACTAAGTCACTTGGAAATAAAAACTCTCTCAAACTCTGGTAGTGACCATCTCCCAATTGTAATAAAAGACTGCACTAATAAAAACGAATCACATATAACAGAAAAAAAATGGGACTTCAATAAAGAAGGTTGGAGATTTTTCAAAGAAGAAATAGAGAAAAAAGACCTCAAGGACATGAACTCAATAAAAGAAATACTAGAATTAATAAAAAACACAGGCAAAAAATATTTCATATTTGACAATAAATCAAACAAAAACAAACCAAGCAAACCTTGGTGGAATAAAAAGTGTAAAGAAATAATAAAACAAAGAAATAAAGCCTTTAACAGATGGAGGAAAAACCCAAATGACATAAATAGATATGAATTCAAAAAACTTCAAACTAAAGCGAGAACCATAATTGAAACAGAAAAAAAGAATAGTTGGGAAAACTTTTGTTCGTCTCTGGATTTTAACACTCCATCCAGAAAAATTTGGAAATTCATTAAAAAACTAGATGGTAAAAACAGAACAAACACTTATCCACTAATTGTTAACAACCTTCCTATACAAGACACAGAACAAAAGCTAGAAGTCCTAAAAGGAGAATTCCAAAAATCAACAAACAAAAAAACAAAAAGATTGCTAACAAAAACTGAAATTAAGAACCTGACAGAAAAAACAAAAACTGAAGGAATAAGCAAAAATCTAACTCTAAAAGAATTAATTTCAGTAATAAAAAAATCAAAAAACAGAAAAGCTTATGGTCCTGATGAAATTCCATATGAATTCTTTAAGTATTGTCCCCAAAATATGTTGGTAAAAATCTTATCAATACTCAATATTTACTGGTTAAAAGGAGAATACCCTAAAGAACTAAAAAAATCATTAGTAAATCCAATTACAAAACCAGGTAAAGACCCTTCAGATAAGACGTCATATAGATATATAAGCAGAATATCATGCTTAGGAAAAATATTTGAAAGCCTAATAACTAATAGACTGAACTGGTGGTTAGAGATCAACAATAAATTAAATGAAGATCTAAAAGGTTTTAGACCAAACAGCTCAACGTTAGATGCCTTACAATTTATAGATTATCAAATCAACAAAGCTTATGAAGAAAAAAAATATGCCTTAATAGCTTGTTTAGATCTTGAAAAAGCTTTTGATTCAACAAACCATGATGCAATAGTAGCAAAAGCAGCAAAATTAGGTATTACAGGTGCCCCACTCAAGTGGATCATAGAATTTTTAAAAAACAGAACATACCAACTAGTTATAGGTAACAAAAAATCTACGGAAGAAAACACAGAACGAGGCCTACCACAAGGCTCTCCCTTAAGCCCATTATTGTTTAACATAATGTTATCAGATTTAACCCTTACAAACGAATTAAAAAAAGTAATATATGCAGATGATATAACAATAATATCCATAAATAATAGTCTAGAAGAGGCTAAAAACAAATTAGAACTAGGAGTAAAACAGATAATAGAATGGGCAAATAAATGGGAACTGTCAATAAATTTAACAAAAAGTAAACTTATGTGCTTTACAAAAAAAAGAATACGACAAATACCAATAATTCAAATAGACAACAAACCACTCACTTTTACAACTAATCACACAATTCTAGGTTTAGAATTTGATGCCCCAAGATTAACTTGGAAAAATCAAATTAACAATCTAAAGATAAATTGCTCTAAAAGAATAAACATAATGAAAAAATTATCATCAACAAAATGGGGAGCAAACAGAGAAACAATAATAAAATTTTATGACATTTATATAAAACCTAAAATAGAATATGGTATCACTATCTTCGGAACAGCCAAAAATGCAGAAATGAAAAAAATAGAAATTATACAAAATAATGCACTTAGAATTGCTACAGGCTGCTTAAAAACCACCCCAATCGTAGCTTTATACTCACTCACAAACAAAATGCCCATCAAATATAAACAAAAAGAATTGGAATGTATGCAAATGATGAAAATATTAGAAAAACAAGAGAATAATCAAATTAAGGAAAATGTAACAGCAAATATTGAAACATATAATCCTGAAAAAGGTAAGAGTGGTATAATACAAAGAGTAATAGAAACTTGCAAAGAATTAAATATAACAATAAAAACAAAAACAATATCAAACATAACACCCATTCCACCTTGGTTAGATATTACAAAAAACATAGAAACCAACTTCTTAGATGAGCCAACAAAAAACATCCCCGAACAAATAATAAAGACTCAATTTATAAAGTTGGAAAACACAAGATATTTAAATCATAAAAAAATATTCACTGATGGATCAAAATTAAGCACAAATTCAACGTCAGCGGCCATATATATCGAAGAAAAAAAGATTACAACAATATGGAAATTACCAGACAAAACAGAAATAATTGAGGCTGAACTTTTTGCCATAAAACAAGGAATCAAATATATCCAGAATAATAGATTAAGAACAACAGTAATATTTTCAGACTCAAAATCAGCTTTACAGCTGATATCAAACCCAAAACCTAAAAATTATAAACACACTATATTTGAAATACAGACACTGATATATACACTAATATGTCAAAATCAAACATTAAGTATACAATGGATACCTTCACATAAAAACATAAGAGGTAACGAAATAGTTGATCAAGCGGCAAAACATGCTCATAACATATTAAACCCCACAACCATACATGAGGACAGAAGAAAAAAGATAAAACAAATAAGAATAGAATATCTTAAAAAATGGAAAACACAAATAAACACAATCCTAAATACAAAAAATTACTTTCTAAAAAACACTGAAATACAACCATGGTCAAGATCAAAAAACAGAAAACTCGATGTGTGTATAACCAGACTCAAAACGACACACACAAGATTAAACCAACATCTACATAAAGTAAAAATAATAAATGACCCAACATGTAGATGGTGTCATCATCAAGAAGAAAACATACAACATCTCATACTACAATGTCCAAGATTTCACTCTTACAGAACAGACCTGATGGAAGCTTTAAAAAGAATCAAAATAAACAATCCTAATATAGACTTATTACTTACAGGTGCTGATCTTCCACCAATAAAGAAGTACTACATTTTAAGACACACAAAAATATTCCTAAAGAAAACGAAACTAATAGATATAATATAAAAGAAAAAAAAAAGAAGAAAGAAGAAAGAAAAAAGATCCAGGGGATATAGACTAGAAAATAGTCTAAAACCCTATAAAAGAAGAAAGAAGAAAGAAGAAGATCAGCTGATTGCTTGGGTCCTTATTTTTCGGTTTGTTTTGATTTTTTTTTCTCTCCGTGTGTGCTGTCCTATATATTTTTTTTTGTGTGTGACATTTCGAGACCGAGTTCTGTTGGTTGGGTATTTCTTATTTATTTGTATAAGGGGAAAAGTATAGGCGTCTAGGGAGGGTATAGAATGTTTTCTTTTTTCTTAAAATTGAGGATATAATCAGCTTTCGAATTTTGTTTATACAAATTTGATTATTACTGTAACCATTATGATGATGATGATGATGTTACTAGAAGAGTAAAGTTAGATGAAGATTATGAGAGAGAGAGAGAGAGAGAGAGAGAGAGAGAGAGAGAGAGAGAGAGAGAGAGAGAGAGAGAGAGAGAGAGAGAGAGAGAGAGAGATGAAGGGTAACTAAGAAAAGAGTGGGGAAGAAGCAGATGTAAAGGTCAGGACTATCACAAAAAAATATCGATAATTTTCAGAGCAAATTATGCAATGCAAAATTACTACGTACTGTATACTCATAACCAACTTTCTGCATACTGTATAATTATTTGTATTTCATATGTAGCCACTGTGTAATGATATAGCAATCTGTATTTCCATGCATTTCACTTAATCATTTATACTGTCATTATAAAAAAATATATATTTTGCACCCATTTTTAGATACAGATAATTCAGCGGTGTACTTGCTTGTATGAGGTCAATCACCAATATGTTTTTTTCTTTCTTTCCAGATAGTTTGTACAGTCACCATGTCACTTGAACAAACTGCATGTGAAGGTAATTTTTACCATATAGGGTAGAAACCCATGCACTTCTGTTTTATGTTCTTTTTCCTATCTTTATCCCTGAATTACAAAAAAAAATCATTAGCCATTTTTACTCAGCAGCATATTTCTATGTTTGTCATACACCCAACTTACATATTTAACAAAATAAATGTTCTCTTTCAGATTTAAAAGCATTTGAGCGGCGATTAACGGAGGTGATAAACAGGTTTCAGCCTTCCACCGTAAGATGGAGAAGTAAGTAGTCACTTAAATTTTCCATTTTCATTCATGCTGTAATATACTTTATTGTGTTCTTTTACTTATTAGATTTTTTTCTTCTGTGTCCTTCTGCATTCTGTTCCTTTATGCCCTTGGTTATCTTTCTATTTCACTTCTTCCTTCTCCTCCTCAACTAATTCTTCCATTCTCACATCTTCTGGTTATCTCTTGTTCTCTTCCTTATCTACTCCTCAAATTTCCACCTATTTTTTCTTCCGTTTTTTCTTATATATTTGTTTTAAATAATTCTACCTTCCTTTTTTTGTCTAGTCTTTTCTGTACTTGCTTCTTTTACAACTATGTATAATTCTTCTCCACCTCAGATTTAACAGTGTCCATATTTCTGCATCCTATTCCCTTGAAAATTTAAAAAATATTTTTTCCCTATGATTTGTGAAAGTTATCCCCCAAGTATACTAACTTTAGCCGTATTTCTCCCAGTGACAACACTCAACAGAACATGCATTTCAGTGGTCTTGACAGTGGCTGTACTGAGCACAGCCTTTGGGGCATACCTCTTGCTCACTGACCCCATCACACACAGCGCAACACTTCCTCAGTCGCTCATCAACCATCTCTTCTTTACTGTTGCTGTGTTTTCTCTAGGTAGGTGTTTCAGCTGATGTTATAGAGGGGCAGCTGTGAAAGCCGTGGAAATATTAATAGATAGATATGCATGACTGTGTCCATACCATAGAAAGAAGGATCAAAAGACTGTGGGTATGGACATTACTTAGGCTATAATTTAATACTCGCTGCTGTTTAATCCTTGTATCATTTATGTTCAGATGGCAATCATTGGATTATAGTTCCAATTTATGATAATTGGAAGAAGGAAAATATCTGTAATACCATTATCTGTGGTTACATGAATGATAGTACACAGTTGATTTTTAATTTTTTTCTTTATCTTAATACATGATGATAATAATGACTTAATTTTTTTCTTTCAGTCTTACTGTTCATAGTGGGGATCCACAAGAAAGTGGTTTTCCCCTCAATCATTACATCACGAACCCGCATTGTTTTATCGGATTTTAACATGTCCTGCGATGACACTGGGAAACTTATCTTAAAGCCAAGACCAACCAATACCTAAGAATGATAAAACTTAGGATATTTTGTAAATTTGGGACTATTTCTTTTTTTGTTTTTTTGCCAGAGACCTGTATTTTACAGGTAAAAGGAAAGCATGAACAGTTGGTGTACAAAAATTACTTGACTGTGGGATGTAGTAATTCTAATGTTTCAATGTTTTAGTTAAGAAAAAAATTATTATATAAACTGCACAGATTATCCTGTGCTGTGTCTCTCTGTGACACTTTGGTCCATATAAACCAGAAAAGCATTATGTATAAATTTTAGTAGGAGTTTACAGTGTTGAATGAATAAGCAGCTTACATTTTAGTATCTTTTTGTACAAAAGGGATGATGAGAAGGAATTTCCAGCGTCATGTATATATATTAGGCCATTTGTTCAGTTTTTTTCTTTTTATATGGGAAGAAACATTAATTTATTGACTGACTCTTATAGATGAACCTTGATATAAGGTAGTTTTTTCCTGTTTATGGTAGTACAAACATTACATAATTAATAAGGTTTTGAATAATTTTGATACTGATAAAAGACATTTAGTATACATAAGCCCCTTATTACAAATAAACACCTTTTAAGTTCATGTTAAAGAAGAAACTTAAAAGTAATAAGATTTCTGCATTGATATTTCAGTACATTTTGATGACTTCTTTTGGTACGAAATCCATTAAGAGATGATAGCAATAATAGTAATAAAAATAATAATAAAAAAATAATAAAAATAATGATA